CTTCTGACTTTGGAGAAAGGAATAAAAATTCTCCAACAAAAATCCTTAAAAATGACCTAAAACAGGAAAAGTTTAGCCTGATTTAATGTCAGACAGTGAGAAAAATAAGGTTATCTGTCTTTTTATCCAGTGTATGTAAACGCTTTTTCACTTTTTGTAAAAAAATACCATCCCAAAAAGATCACATCTTTATTTTTATTTTTTTTTAATACTTCTATTTTTAGGATTAAATCTGTCCTCTCAAGTTAGCAGTAATATATATTTTTTATTATTCCTGTTTATTTTTATTTTTTTAATTCATAGACAATGTTTATATTGATTACTTTTTTAAATCTTTTTTTTTATTAGATATTTTTTTCTTCTATCCACTTCTATCTACAGTCGTAGCTTTATTGAACCAGCAGGAGGCGACAAACTCACAATCTGCTGCTGTGGTGGTGCCTTCACAGCCAGCTGGGAATTGATGCCTTCACTGTCAGCTGGGAATTGATGCCTTCACTGTCAGCTGGGAATTGATGCCTTCACTGTCAGCTGGGAATTGATGCCTTCACTGTCAGCTGGGAATTGATACCTTTTCGTCTCTCAGCTTTCTGATATGGACAGCTCAAGTTTTAATAGTTTTGCTGCTTTCATCATAGAAGAATCATTTGCTGTTATTTTCAGTTTATTTTTCAGTGTTTAATTGTTCAACCTCCTTTTAATTTTTTCTTATTTTTTAAAATTGCGCATAATGTTCAGTTGATGTAAATACCAGCATCATTTAACAATATCACGTCAATGCAGCTTGAAAGGTTGATTTAAATCTGTGAATCAGACGTATTTGTTCATGAAGTGGAGGGAACAGGTCTCATTAAACACTTTTTATCGTGTCAGCTGAAGTGGAAGCCTCATGTGAAAGAGGATTGTTTTGCCAACTTCTATAAATGGCTTTAGTTGGATTAAATTTATCCAAATTAAGTTTAAAAGCAACTTTGACTCATAGAGTTTAAGTTCAATCTGCTTAAATCCTTTGATTCCTCTCAAACAAACATTCCTGCGACTTTATTTTTATTTATTTTTTCAGGTTTTCCAACTTTGCACCAATGAAACGTAAAAATCTGATTTTGTCATCACTGATTTTTTTCTTTTTCTTTTTTCTGTCATCCAACCTACAGATAATGCGAGATTCAAGCACGAAAGCAGATTTTTTTTTTTGATTTTTTATTTTCTTTGCATTTGTTCCTTAATTAGAAAACCAGTTTAAAGGGGAAAAATGAAATTTGAAGTCCAACAAATTAAACAAAAATCAATGAGATCCACTGAAAACACTGATTTATTTAAACTGCAGCTCAAATGCAGTTTGTTTTTCGTGTCATTTCAGCTCAAAGCGTTTCTAAAAGCAGCAGATTGTGATGTTCTCTTGTTTCCTCTGTAGAGATGCATCGCTCCATTAGACCATCTCCTCCTCCACCACAAGTTAGCTCCAGGTCTTCAGGTTCTATGTTCCCCCTCACAGGGACTGACTTTATGTTGACATTTTGAAACTCGTGCTCATCTCATATGGCGCTTTTCTACCATTCACACACACATTCATACACTGATGGCTCTGTGCCTGCCATTGGGAGCAGCTGCTGGTTCAGTTTCTTGCTCAAGGACACTTTGGCTGGGATGGAACCACCAACCGTGCAGTCAGAGGACAACTGCTGCAGCACCTGAGCCACAGCCGCCCTTCACCTACACTGACCATGATTTAATGTTGACAGGCAATAAAAGTGGAAAACTCTCCAGGAGGGTGAATAGTTTTGCAGGCGCAGCAAAATACAGCCTCAGAATGCAGCTTTCTTCAGCTGGTACGACGCCACAGACCACAGGAGAAAGACAGGAACGACTTGTTGTCATGCTGCTTCCTGTTATTAAAGAAGTCCACCGCCTTGTCAGAGCCCTCTTGGAAGACAGAATATGATTCAACCAGCAGCATCGACAGAAGTCAGGAGTGTCGGTACGTAATCAGATCAGGGAATTCCTCCTTGGTGACTTCAGACATGAGTGAAATGAGTAAATGCCTGTTTGAGCGAAACATAAAGTCATTAAATTCCTCACATCTGTCCACCCGGCAGAGATGGACTCAAAGTGGAAGAACTGGGATCTGTCCAGAAGAACTCTCAGAGAAGCTGCAAGAAAACGAGAAGTTGTTTTTTTTTATTGTGAATGCACAAAGGAACGACCTGGAAACTTTGGCGGATGTGCAGCAGCTCTGCAGGTCTTCTACAGATTGAGTTGTTTCATTGATTGGGAACAAGTAAAAGTCCGTCTGTTTGAGGCTGCTGGGAAGTTATTTCCATAGTAGCCCATCGACGGGCAACTATAGAGTCATCGTGGCCGTGTGTGTGCTTATCTCACATTATCATGAAGAGATAACACGTGTCTCGTGAGCGATACTGTTATTGAGGAAACAAAGAACATTTAAAAAGAATAAACTGATTTAATTAAAAAAAAAAAAAAAAAAGAAGAAATCCTGAGAAGTCACAGACAAGAAATCACACTTCACCTTTAGTTTATTGTATTTATCAATTCGACTCTCATGACAAGTTTCAAAACAGCAGTAACTCTTTTCTGCTGCTTTATTTGTATTATCTTTGTTGCTCAGATAAAATAATAAATTTGAAGGCGTTGGTTTGGACTCGGGCTGCAAGGTGGCGCAGTTGGTAGCACTGTTGCCTCGCAGGAAGAAGGTTGCCGGTTCGCGTCCCGGTGGGGGCACCGGAATCTTTCTGCGTGGAGTCTCCATGTTCTCCCCGTGCAGCGTGGGTTCTCTCCGGGTTCTCCGGCTTCCTCCCACACAGTCCAAAAACATGTTGAGGTTAATTGGTGATTCTAAATAGTCCGTAGGTGTGAATGTGAGTGTGCTTGGTTGTCTGTCTCTAAGTGTAGCCCTGTGATAGACTGGTTACCTGTCCAGGTGAACCTGCCTTCGCCCTAAGTCGGCTGGGGTAGGCTCCAGCCCCCCTGCGACCCTAATGAGGATTAAGCGGTGTATAGAAAATGGATGGATGGATGGATGGTTTGGACTCTGGGCTCTCGTGTGTCTCTGACTGCCTCAATAAAAAAAAATAATCAACATGATGATCATTAGTGATCCAGCCAGCACTGAATCCCATCGTTAGAAGTCATGTGACTACATCAGTAATGATGTTGTGCACCATGAACACTGAGACATTTGAAACCACTGAGACCCTGCAGCCCCTCCAGCTTTAATGTTTGTGCATTCAGCTGTAAAGAAAATGTGTTTGTATATAAACAGAAATGTACATTTCAGTTTTTATTGCAAATGTATTTTATCGATTCTCGAAGCCAGCGGTTCTCAAACTTTGTGCCACCTGAGAGCTCGGTCCTTACGTCCGACCGCCGTGACCATAGATATGTATATTGAAGGCTAGATGTCTCGTCCGTGCTGCCGGCCAATGGAATCACACGGCCACACTGGCGGCCATCTTGCCACAGTCAGCTCGCTTACCCATACCACTGTGCTGTAGTGGTGCATGTACGTCTTAAATAACCACAACTTGCTCAACTTTCTACCGATTTTCAAACGGTTTGGTTCGTTATAAACGTCAGAGGTGTAGCTAGAACGCTGCACTGATGGATGATTATGTTACGTGTCCGGTCAATGTTGAAATCCTGAAGAGAGACTACTGTGGAGGTCGACACATGGAGGACAGAGACAAGAAATGACCCAAAACACAGTTAAATTAAACATAATAAATCATATTTATTACATGATGAGGATTAACAATAACTAAACAAGAATATTAAGTAGGGGGAGTGTTGTGTAAAGCAGTAAGTGGAAGGGAACCAAAAGTGTGGTGCAAAGATCAGTCCTGTAAAACCAAACAGAAAGCCAAAACGCTGAGGGGAGAGAAGCAGCCTTGTGCACAGACTAGCCAGAGAGAGAGATGCAAGGTTTCTGAAAACAGGGACACGACTAACGTTAACAGCGTATGGTGGTGGCTGTCTACGCCATACTACAGGTCGCCCATGTGCTCCCCGATCCTCTTCTGTACCACGTACGTGACCTCCAGCAGTCTGATGGGCTGTGATGGTCTGAACCGTGATGCCTGGCGAATGAGCCACTCTGCTGCCCTGACGACCCTCACTGTGCCTTCTGATGGAACCACCAGACCTCCATGGGTTTTTAGACACAGCAGGTGGTCGCTCTGGTCCTTGATGGCAGATGCAGCGTCTGTCACCAGGCTGGCACGGCAGACATCACAGGAGAGCTGCCTCAGTGCCCGTCGCACAACAAATCCTGAAATTTGAGTGAGTATAATAATATCACAACTTATAATAATTAATAAGCATGGGGAAATTAAGGGTACATTTCTCTTTTTGGACAATCGTCCACTGAAAACTGGCACCATTAGTTAGAGGAAAAATTGACTTTCAGTAAGATTTTACCTGAAATGTGCACAAGAGTTGTCCACAAGACCATCAAAGGGGATGGATGGAAGATCTCCTCCTCCTGCTGTGGAGGACATATCTGATGCTGACAGGCTTGTAGAGGGTCGATGACGGCTGGTAGGGACTCCGCGTCATCCTGCGCTGTCACGTTGCCTCAGCATGGTTTAACAACTCCACACTGGGCCATCAGCTGTCTGAAGACGGACCTGAACTGGCCGGCATTGGGCTTGTTATTCCAGCCACCTATAAAAAACAACACAAGATGTTTTAAAGACGTCACTGGCAGTGAACTGTTTGACGTCTTTAAATGTCACTGGCAGCCAATGAATTAACCAGTCGTGATAATACTGTGCTTACTGTAATTCAGTTTAACATCATACATCATGAAGAATACCTTTGCAATGAACTGGGATGTGGCAGGTGAATATGCAGCGTATCTCTCAGGTAGTTGTATGCCTGTGGACCATGCAGATGGAGTGTGAGGGCAAAATCTCTCTGGGCCTTGGTGTACTCTACGCCCTGCCTCGACAGGAGCTGAACCGGAAGGTCTGAAATTCAATCAGCAAAAGTGATTCAGTCTCCTTTTAATGGCAACTAGGAAGTCAACAAAAAAAAAACATAAAATACACAAAATATTCAGTGTAAAGTTTTTATTTTACCTGAGTAGCAGTCAAGCTTGTCTTTCAGCTCTTCATTGATGAGATTTTTCTCCTTCAGTTCCTCCAGAAGAGCCTGCATGTTGTCCTTGGCCCTCTTCTCTCTCCTCAAGGAGTTCATCTTCTCCCGCTGCAGTTTCCTCACTCTGGCTGAGGCCTCTTCCAGTTTGGCCTTTATAGCCTTTGGGCAAGCAGGCAGTGCATATAAGTGGTCGGTGGACTGACCCCTCTGTCCTGTGGCTCCCTGTTGTTTTGGCAAAATATATAAAGAATAGTAAAATAGAAATTAATAACTTACTTTTTCAACAATCCAGCCTTCACTTTTCCATTCTGTGAGCCTGAATACATTTTCATGGTCTCCAATTTTTTTCAACAGAAACACAACAGCATACTTCTAAGAAGCTGTACAGGCTTGTCCACTCATTAGGCGAAAATATGTTTAGTGGCTCTGGACGGAGATGTAAAGGTGGCCCACCCCTGGGTGGAGTTTCAATGTTCACTCATGTTTATTCATTCAAGTGTACGAGTGACAGAGAGAGTGAGACAACCAGTGGGTTTCAAACTTTCTACCACCTCAAATCATGTTGGGCTCCTAGACTACGAACACCATCGTGGACCTGTCTGGGTCCCACCAAGATGAAGGATTTAATATAACGAGCCACACGGAGCTCATTCCACATGCAAACACTCACAGCATCAGGTCGAGGTGCATCCTGAGACCAGCCCGTTGGCAGGTTGTCTTCTGCTCTTCTGGAAGTGGTTGTGGTTCTTTTTGCTATTGACTAAAATAAACAGAAGTGAAGAAGTGTTGAGTGTCTAAAATGTGCTGTAATAAACAACACATAACATGACTAAACTGTGACATTCAATCGTGTTTATGTTGATATATCGATCGTATACACCTTGTTGGTCAGTGACACACACACCTTTTGAAGATGAGCTGGGAAGTTGAATATGGACGGCACCACACCGTCTCTGAGACGGACCGTCTGGCCCGTCCTGTCGAAGTCCTGGCTTCTGAAGTGCTCGCTGCACAGCACGGTCCGGTCAGCAGCAGCAAAACCCTTCCTCCTCAGGGCAAGCTCCCACTTCCTCCTCCGCTCTCTGGTTTTGGGAAACCTTAACAACGTGAGAAATGCACCCAGATACATAAATCATTGTCAACATCTTCAATCCTCATTTCCTCTCACATTAAGGGTCAGGACACACCTAAACACAGTCACAGTGTTGTCATAGCTTACAGGTGAAAGGTGATCCCACGGGCTCTGCTTTCAACACCACGCCGATTAGAGCATCCGTAGGCTGCACAAAAGTCTGGCATCTTCACTCAGCACTTTCCTGTAGGAATCAATATGTAAGATGTTTTTTAGCAAACCAACCTGATTGGAAGTCATGTGCAACTTTACTTAGATCTGGTGCTCTCAGCCTTACATACACACAACTATGCTGCCCGATAAAGAAAAGCTGCAATTCTAACATGTTGAAACATCCAGAATTGTAGCCACGTTAACAACGTTTGTAAGAAACCAAACCGTTTATAAATCCGTCAAGATTTCAGCGAGATAAGAGTGTTTATCTTTGAGCAGATCACTCTCCTTCCTTCACATAACACAGGTTCCGCCGGAGAGCTTCCCCGTGTCAAGATGGCCGCCGGTGATGACGTTTGAGACTCCGCCTTAGCCTTTATTATGGCTGTGACGGTCCATTACGTGCTACGTCACTTACGTCACAACGTAAGACCACGCTCCACACTTCCTGATCTTCTGCCTGGCAAGTCATATGACGTCCTACTTACTTGTATATTGAAGAGCTACATTTCTGTAAACTTAGCAAATGATAAAAAACAACAAAACTTCATTCTGATCTGAACTCCTGAAGGAGCTTCACTGTTCGTCCGTCATGTCTTCGAACAAAAGCAGCTTTAAGGAGCTGAATCCCACTTTGTCACTCTGGACTGTGGCTCTCTGCTCAGCTTTGGTCCTCAGCGCACCACTGGACGGTAACACATTCATTACTGTCGCTGTTCAACGCTGCTTTTAAGAACGACGCTAATGCTAACAATTTTCATCAGATTGTAGATTAGCATCGCAGCTCTTTGCCTTAATTTTTGGAAATCACCAGAGCCGAATTCTCTATCGGCTCTTCTTTTTTGCTGTGTTATGTTTAAAGTGATGTGAACTGTGAAGGAATTGTTTTTACACAGAAAACAGCTTAAAACGCGCTAATTCTCAGGCAGGTTCTGCGATCTGAAGGTGCGCCTTTATTTGTAGTTGTGCAGCGAGTTTATGGGAGTTCATTTTAAATGTACATCAGAGATAATCGTGTCATGGACTGCTCAAGTTGTATTTATTTCAAAAAAAAATACACGTTTTATGTGTGTGTGTTAAGATTAAACCGAGGCAATGTGATTCAAACTGTCCGCTATCCCAGACTTCATTCAAACTTTAACTAATTTAAACAACAAGTTCTGGTTCTGGTTGATTAGAAACTAAAACTGTTTAAAGCTGTTCTAGTCATTTCTTTATACATTAGATGGCTCTATTGAGGTTGTAAAAATGACTCCGAAGAGGTCAGACAATGACTCACAGACACATGGGTCACTGAATGAATTGTTTTTTTTAAATATCTTAGTCATCTGGCGACAGGAAACATGTCAGACTTCCCAGACCAAACAAAGTTCTTCAGAAACTGCTGTAACAATGTCTGAATTCACTGATACTGTATTCACCAATCAAATCTGTCCCCAGGCACCACATTGTTGTTTATTTAAAATGTTGGCATGTGTTCAATTTCTTTTACAGCTTGCAGGATAGCCTGTTGTTCACTCGACCATTAGATAAACTGTCAGCCAGACCCTAAAGTTGAGCCAAAGCTCTCTTGACGCAACAGATTGTTATTTTTTAAACATGTAATATTTCCATGTTCTTATTTCACTACGTGGTCATAAACCAAAGAGCTTGGGGACATTATATTTGCTTTATTTGTGTTTTTCACAAGTTATTAGATCTTCCAGAGTTCTGAAACAAGCTCTCAGTTGCATTTGTCAAGTTTCTTGACTGGTGCTGCTGATGGCAGTTGAAGTTTTGATGCTTAAAATTTGGCAGAATTTGTAGAAAATATCTGGAATTATGCAGAAGTTTCCCCGACTGGCAGTCAGAGTTCTCACAGCGTTGACGTTCATCGCTTTCTTTTTTTAGCTTCTTTTTTATCTGAAGCATCAGAAATGTTTCCTGGAGGGTTTTTATCTCAACGTTCCACCAAATTTCAAGTTGTTGTCGCCACAGAAACCAGATTTAAAATTGTTTCCCAGCAGACTTTGCTCTATTGTGAAAACTTTAAGTCCTCCTTGTGTTTCCAGGTCAACTCCAGGTGGTTGGTCCAGCTCAGCCAATCACGGCTGTTCTCGGTGATGACATCATCCTGCCGTGCTGCCTGGAGCCTGCTGCTGACGTTCAGGATAAAACAATACTTTGGTCCGACCCGGACCTCAAACTGGACCCGCTGAACCCTCAGAGAGGAGTGGAGTACGTACACCTGTACAGGAACAGGAAAGAGGTCCCTGACATGCAGATCACGTCGTATTTTGGCAGAACGACGCTGTTTGAGGACGAACTGAAGCGCGGGAACATCTCGCTGAAAATCACAAACGTGACGATGGAGGACCAGGGCAGGTACCGGTGCTTCATCCCCAAGCTGAAGAGCAGAGCGAACGCCGCCATAGTTCAGCTTGTTGTCGGTGAGTAGATCTGTTTAGACGCCACTTAAGGGTCAAGGATGAGGTTTTTTTTTGGGTATTTTAAATGTTTAAAAATGTTTTTCTTTTGTAGTTCCAAACGTTGTTGAAACCTCGACGAAACCACCGCTGGACCTCAGAAACCTCCAAACTCCAGACCCGCTGGACGACACTCGGCCTGACGGTGGGAGAACGCTCCAACTCTGATCATTTCCAGAATCATTCAGGGTTTGACGTGTTTACTGACCGTTGTTTCATTGTTTTCC